AGTTGACTCCCTGAATCAAACATTATCAAGGATACTGAAGAAGGAGTTGACTCCCTGAATCAAACATTATCAAGGATACTGAAGAAGGAGTTGACTCCCTGAATCAAACATTATCAAGGATACTGAAGAAGGAGTTGACTCCCTGAATCAAACATTATCAAGGATACTGAAGAAGGAGTTGACTCCCTGAATCAAACATTATCAAGGATACTGAAGAACGAGTTGACTCCCCAAAGAAATAAATATTTAAGTTTAGTCCAACAAAGGATCCCAGTTTGATTCCTTTTTTTGAAATTTTTCCAACTTCACAATTTTTGTTTTTTGAAAATTCTAACTTGGAAAATATTAAGTTTATGCCAAGAGCCAATAAAAGTCTTAAGATTCTTCTTGAAACTTTCACAAAAATGCCATGTGTGCAAATTCCTAGCTAATATATAATGTTCTTTTAAAAATTAAAGAAATTGAGCCTTTGCAACAAACTCTGATTTTTCCCCAAATGTGGTAGACCTTAGATATTTCCGAGTAAAAGCTCTGTTAAATCAAATAATCTAAGTTTAAAATGTCAAAGGTTTAAACCATTAGGATGCAAAGATGCAAATTTGACCTTGTAACAAAGGCTCAATTCCTTTATTAATAATTTAAAGTAATTTTTTGTTCTAGTTTTTACAAAAAAGATAATTTGAATTATGGTACATGAAAAGCCCTGAATTTATACTATTTTAATCACCTGTTGGTAAACATTGACAAGTGCAGTACACTCTGGACTCACACCAGAACTGGTTTGATTATTTGGAAAAAACAAAGAATACCATTTTAAAATGCCCTCGCCCCACCTCGGAATGTTTAGACCAGTGTGTGTGGAATCTACTGGTGTAAGTAAGGGCCCCACTAGAAATGAGACAAGTATAAATCTCATTTTCATGAGATGAATGTCTTGCTGGAGGGCTTGGTGGATAAATACAGGAGGAAATTTAATTACTAAGTTTTACGTAAATTTGCTTATTTCAGGGATAAGTCATTTCAGACATTACAATTTATAAGGTTTTTTAACTAGAAAATGTTAGTTCTAATGCATAAAAAAATTTACAATGAAAAAAAATTGTTCAAGATGTGTTCATCCCTTCCTGGGTTTACAAATATATATATATATATATTTCAAACAGTGTATTATGTTTTTAATTATTAGCAAACAAATTGCTTGTTTTCTTATCTCAGAAAAAAAATGTATCATCGGCATCATCAGAAATTCTGGGCTAATAAAAACTAATTAAAATTACACCTTTATTTACATAAAAGTTCGTTGGAAAAAAACTTAATCCTATTGGCTTTTTTGTTGTTGTCTAATATAGATGGGGGGGGGGGTGTTTCCCCCCTATGATTTTGGCTCTTAGAGTAGAGATAGGGGAGTGTGATACATGTCCCTAGTCAAACTCATTCAAAAAAAATTAGACCTCTTACTTTAATGGTGAGAGTGTAAGGGAGGGAGGAAGTTCATAAAGAAAATCGAAAAAAATTTTAAAAAATAGTCATTTTTACTTTCATAAATATTAAAATATGACATGTTATTATATCCATTTTTCAAGGTTTGCCCTGTAGCTTAATTAATAAAATTACCCTATTCATAAAAAAAAACATTTTTTAGCAAAATTTGTTTGCAACTATTATTTTGAAAAAGCCGGTTTATTGCCTTGGTAAGGATAAGATATTTTTGAATCACCAAAATTCTTGAAATTCATTAATCTCCAACTTTCTGGATTATTTATTATATTTGCTCAGCCCTACAAATAAGCGCATGATTATGATAACAAAAAGTATAAACAAAACTTTCTTATATAATTATCTCAGGACCATAAACTGCAAATGTTCAGGATTTTGATAAGAAATACCTGTGATGACGTGGAAACAAATAATAAGGGAATCATAAAAGTACTTTGAATCTAGAAAGTTTTAATTGAATTGTCAATGCAAAATAAAAGGGATTATAAAATATTTCTTATTATGACTTTTTCCAAATAAAAATGTTTTATTTTTGATAAAAAATTTCCAACTGGACTTTCCGTGCATGTCAACATGCACAGTGCACCTGGCATGTAATTCACATTCATAACAGTACTAATAAAAGCCTTTTCCAATTAACTCTATATATCCTGACGTCTGGTTCCCTGGTCAGATTGACCTCCTCCTCTTTTTCTTATTATTATGATACAAATATTTGATACGTTTCTGGAAAGCCCTTGGGCTCTACTTCAGTAATCTTTAAAAAATATGTATTGCGAAATCTAGTTATTAAGCAAAAAAGGTACAAGTACAATATACGTCGGACGGTACAAACCTAAGACTTACAAATGTCGGACAGTACAAACGTCGGACCAGGACAAACGTCGGACTAGAACAAACGTCGGACTGGGACAAACGTCGGACTTTACAAACGTCGGACCAGTACAAACGTCGGACTAAGGAAAAAAAAAGATTTTTGTACCAGTCCGACGTTTGTAAGTCCAATGTTTGTACTGTCCGACCTTTGTAACGTCCGACGTTTGTACTGGTACCGCAAAAAATGCGAATATTGCGCAAGTTGCAACAAAATATATATTTTTTAAACTTGCCCCAACGAATTCAAATATGTAAAAATATTTAAGATTTTAAAAACCGAAATGTTTACTTCAAGAAAAACTGAAACTGTGCAAATTCCCTGTGCAAAAATCTGTGCAAAATTTCTTTGCAAAAATTGTGCAATCGGGTTGCTTTTGTTATAAGCTGTCCAAAGCGCTGAGGACTTAGGCTGTATGCAGTGGTATAAATAGCCTTAAGTGAGTTAGAAAAGTCGGAGCTTCCTAGCTCAAAAAAAAAACAAAAAGGGGGGGTCTAGTTAATTCGTGTTTTAATCTTTGGAAATGGATTTTTTACCATGGTTGAGTTCTCCTTAAAAGTGACTCGTGGATTTGTGCTTAACAGACAAAAGAAGAAATTGTTAAATTGAACAGTTTTCAAACTAGAAAACCACATTACTCATTATTGTTTTAACCAATCTAAAATCTAAATAATTAAACAATTTGTCTTTTTATCCTGCAGTTAGGTGTCATGTTAGAAAGGATTGTATAAAATAATGAATATTGTATCCGCCCTGCAGCTTTATAGCATATCCTGTCCTATTCCATCAGTTCAATATTGGGGCCCAATATCAGCATAGCTTCGCAGTTGTTTCTTTTATATTACGACTTTGAGCTCTGATAACGGCCCTTTCGTTTTTATTTTACATATTTAGGAAAAAACTTAGTTGGGTCACTCTAATTTTATACCCTTCAGCCTTCACATACAAGTTCTTAAACGTATTTTAAAAATTCATCCAAAGTTCCAAAACATTTTTGATTAATTATTTAATTCTTTATTATCCTAAAAAAGCCTCTAAATGGAAAGTCACTTGAAAATACGCCTACGGTTACTTTATTGTATAAAGACGAACGATTAAAAAAAAAAAATTTTTAGAGAATATGACCGGGGGTTATTATGGTGTTTGTGCTAATGAGTTTCATCACATCAAATCATTAAAGGTAGTTACACCATTACATTATCTGTAGTTACAGAAAAGTGAAACTTCCCGCCATCTTTTTTTCCCTAAATATCACGACTAATATATGCTAATATCACGACAGGGATTTTTTTAAATGGTTCAGATTTTCTCTAAAAATATAATTTAAATTGGACAGTACATTTTGTTGCCGAATTCAAAGAGAATAAGCAAGAATTTATGAGCATTCAATATAAATCTGCAGATCCAGTTTTGTTTTAAAAATGATGTTTTTAAAATTAAATTTCATTTTTCCCTGCCTGGATACTCATTTATGCCCCTTTTTAATCTATGGTTAACATATCCAGAAACCCATATACTCCCAGCTGAGCTGGGGTAAAATTTTCACTATTTTCTTATGGGTTTAAAAGTAAAATATCACCCCAGCAGAGTACACCTTTCAATATTTGCGCATTTTTTGCTATGAAGTTCCCGCATTCTTTTGAATGATCATCTTCCAGCATTAATATTTGGGATTTTCTTTAATATGTACTTTTTAAAAGTTTAAACTTTATATTAGATGTTATATAATTGACGTGCCATTTTTGTGTATTTATTTATTTTGAAAGTGTTAATTTAAATTCATATTTCTTTATATTTTCCAGGGCATAAAATTATGTAAAACCCTACTGGTTGAAGGGGGCTCGTAAAGTATTTTCGCCAAAAACATTTCTTTTTCTCGCACCTTCTCGAAAAAGAAAAGTTTTTGGCTCAAATACTTTATACCTAACCTCCCAGTCCCTTCAACCAATAGGGTTATTAATAGTTATTTTCCATATACAAAAGTCGGTCAAAGGGTTAAAGAGGTATGATCGGACATACAAAGAAACAGACAGACAAACATAGATTACTACTTTATATATAGGAATGTCCGAGTTATCTCCGTGAGGTTGAAACCAGTCTAATCAGAAGAGAAGAAATTAGGAAGCTTAAGGTCTTCACGCTGCTTTATTCTTTACAGAGGGTTCGGTTTGATCTAATCTAAATGCATGATGCATCACACGATTTTCTCCGCATAATAGTTGTTTTAAACAAACTGTGTGTGTAACTATGTTTTAGAAAAGTTTTTTTGTTTCCTTTGAATTTTTAACTTTTTTTCCAGATTCTTTTTATTTCAGGCAAGGTTGGGAGCATCAAGGCAGTTGCTGCGAAGGAACGCAGATTCCAAGCCTTGGTTGTTCTTTATCAGGTAAAACCAGCCTTTTACTTCCTTCATTTACATATTTTAGAACTAAAGGGACTCTCGGCATAATTTCAACCGATCTTTCATAAATAAAGAGTGTCATGCCCTTCTCACGACAGTACCTTGTAATCCTTTGTCTGAGGATTTAACTGATGTTGATATCATAAAATTAAAAGTTTTTATTTGCGGTTTCTGTAATAAAATGACTTGTTGATTTAATGAGCAAAACCAAGAAAGAAAATTGACAGAAATCATTTCCTTTCAAAAACATTGTTACTCAGATTACTCAACTGTAAGCAGAGTATCGATGGGAACTGGCTTTTCAAGCAAGGTTAAATGAGGTTCACTTGAAATTGTGTTGACAGTCCCTTTAAACCCATCTAATTAAATCATGTATCTAACTCACAACCAATGATAACAGCAGGCAAAACTTAAAACTTTTAAAAATCGAATAAAATATTCTTTATATAGAGATATGTTTGTTTGCAGTGATTTCTACACCCGAGGTACGAAACAGTCCCACTTCGAACAGGACGAAGAAGAGTGTAAAGTGCAACCTTACCGAGGAGCATATGCCAGGGCCTTTAATCCCAAGTCAAGTCGTCACTCTCAGTGTTCTCAAAGCTCTGATTATGAAGGAATGATGATTTACTATTGTGATACATTTTATTTCATAAAGATACACGGTTACCATCAAAGGATGAGACTGTAAAGAAGAATTGAAACTTTTAAAATATTACAACTTCCAGGTCAAATAAGGCAGTCTGTCCTAAGAATAGTCTTTTTATGGGTTATTTATTTATCTGAGTAAGAAAGATGCAAATTGCAGACCATCAGAAAAAAAATACATTAAAAATATATGTACATTCGTGTCATCCTTTGTGGGTAACCCTGTAAGATCCATATCCAATCAGTACGGAGAAAAACAAATCTAAATTTCAAATATTTGGATCCCGGCACCAATCTTATTTCTGAATAATTATAGTAAATATCTCATAGAGATGAGTATTCACTCTCAAGGATCTATATATTCTGATTATGGATCACGAGGATCTTCAGAGATCTCTGATTGTTACTCTTCTCCATCTCAGTACAGTGGAAACATGGGATCCTACAGCCTGGAGACCGGATATAATCAGACGGGGCATTTGTACAAAACAAAGACGACAGATCCTTACCACGTATGCACACTGAACATGGCGGGAGTTTGCTACTTGTGTGGCCGCGGCAAAGAAGTTTCTGATTATTAGTTTTACAGTAAAACCCTTCAAAATCATGTTTTGATTTAAGTTTTATAGAAAGATAAAAAAATTTCAGTATTTAGTGTTTATATTTTATTCTCAGGCTTTAAAGGTTTCAACACCATCGAAATTTATACTCTATTCTTCTTTTACAATTTCCTGACAAAAAAGTAAAAAATTCAAAATTTTAAAAATATATTTTTCGATTCTGGAATCTAAAGTTGAAGTATGTTGGGACTAAACTAGCATAGTATTAAGAATTATCTTTGTTTGCATAAATGTAAAATATCCTTAAAAACATTCATCTAAATAAACAAAACAGAAATCCATGTTAATTTAAAAACTTATCAGATAAAAAATAATCGTGTTGATGAATAAATTCAAATTAATCATTTTAATAATAAGATGAATGCAATTTTAATCAGAAAAAACGAAATTTACCGTGTTCAACTTTTAAGTTAATGTTTTTAACCGTTATCTTTTTTAAACAGCTAATCCGTTTCGTTAATGATTTAACAATTAACGGTTTTTGGCCGTTCGTTAACGGACTCTTCCGTTAATTTTCGAAAACCTCCGTTTCAATAACGGAACTTTGCCCAGTCTTTGATGAATGTACACGAATTTGTTGATAATTATCTTTCTACCAGCATAAAAAGATTTATTTGATTAGTTAACTTTTGAATTTAAAGAGTATCTTGTAACTACATATATTAGAAGGAATTAAAGTAACATGCTTCTTTTTTAATCATAAAGGATTGAAACCTTCAGAAGAAATTCCAAAAAAACGATAAACAATAGTTTGTTTGCCATATCAAAAACTCTGAACTAATATTAAAAGTCTTGTCTTCATGTAATTCGTTAAATGATCTTGATCGGCTTAATTAAGTGAGTTGCAATTTTTATTTGAAATTGATATTGGTTGAATCTAATTAATGCAATTTAACAACAACATCTAAATGATCATAATGGTGGATATCGAGATCAATGCTTGATTCCTGGTTTTACTAAACCCGAGATTAGGTTAATATTCATTAGATATCCAAGAAAGAAGTTTTAAATTCATCCAATTAGCCTTGTCATGTTAAAATGTGCTCTTTAAATTTTGAAAAACCGGTTTTTATTCTTATTTCTGGTGGTGATGGTGTCATATCAATTGAACTAAAGATTTATTGAACGAACGTAAGTTTTGGTTTAATGTTTATTAGGACTAACGTTCAAAAATCGGGATTAAGGATATCTCATTCTAAAGTTTTCAGCTCAGTAGTCTTAATTTGAAAGCTTAATCTCAAGTTTAGATCCCTTATAGTTTTAACCCTAACTTTAAAAGTAAGCCTCACAATAGTGAGTTTTGTTGAATTGATTTACGGGCAATAAAATTTTATTCAACTCTAAGAATAGGGAACTGATTTCTTCCCTCAAACTCAAAGGTTTTAGTTCCAATTTCTTTGAAACCTGATGGTGTAAACCTTTTTTGGTTCAAACATAAATTTAAACATCAGATTTCGCGGCAAGAATTCTGTTCCTTTGTTTCAACATAGTTCTAGACTTGAGCCTTATTTTAGTCTCAGTGTTAGCTTAGTCTTGATACTAACTCGTCCCTAATTATCAAAACTGCGACCTTAGGGCAAGAAACTTTTGAGAAGAAATTTGAAAGAATCTCTGCGATGAGTCACGTGATAAGGCGGACCAGCTCAATTTCCTTTCTATATGAAAAACTGTTATATCTATAAAATTCCTTAGTGCATATCAAATGTAATTAATTTTCTATCTCATGAAATTCCTACATTTAGAAAACCGAGTTACCAGTAGTAGTACCACCCAGAATACAATATAATTAAAAGTCCACCATATGTGCTAATTTGAATGCAATGTTTTTAAGCGTAATCTGCATTAAAATATTACCCCTCCCCTATCCCTTTGAAATAGAAATTATTGTTGTAAATTGCAAAAACTGATATAGTTGTTGGAAGATAATTTAAAGAATGCTGAATTTCTATGATTAATCTTTGTGGATTTTAAAATCTTTCTTTTTTGAATCACTTTTATATTTTTTTAACTGAACAGGTACTGTAAACTGAAAACTGAACACGGTGATGTGCACAGTAAATTGTACACCGTAAACTGTAAACTGTACACTGTAAATTGTACACTGTAAACTGTACACTGTAAAACGTACACTGTAAACTGTAAACTGTACACTGTAAACTGTAAACTGTAATCTGTTAACTGTAAACTGTAAACTATACACTGTAAACTGTACACTGTAAACTGTACACTGTAAACTGTACACTGTAAACTGTACGCTGTAGACTGTACACTGTAAAATGTACTCTGTAAACTGTACACTGTAAAACGTACACTGTAAACTGTAAACTGTAATCTGTTAACTGTAAACTGTAAACTGTACACTGTAAACTGTAAACTGTACACTGTAGACTGTACACTGTAAAATGTACACAGTGAACTGTACACTGTAAAAAGTACACTGTAAACTGAAAACTGTACACTGTAAAAAGTAAACTTTAAACTGTACACTGTAAAATGTACACTGTAAACTGTACACTGTAAACTGTACACTGTAAACTGTACACTGTGCCTGTATAACGTTTCAGGAAGCCCCTCGCAATTGTAAGATCATGTTTTTAACTTTTATAAAATTATTTAAAAACAATTTCGCGTATTTTTTCCAACCTATCTTCTTCAGTCGTGCAGGAATATAAAGAGTGAGTTCCTACTCTCATTGCTTTAAATCCAATGTAATTATATTGGAAAGGCAAGAAATTTTGATTTTAAAAAATAAAAATTCTAGAAACGGACAATTCGTGAAGTGTTTTGTTAATATGTGAATATTCCTCTTAAATGAACTGTAACAGAGCCCAAAACTTAAGACAGGGTATCGTTATGAAAACCAGTTTTGGAACCCGGGTTTCACAAATGGGTTTACCCAGTTTTGTAGATATCGATATTTTTGTTTTGAAATATTATTTTATTTAATCCTTTATATCTTACCATTTTTATCAAATCTCTTAAATCAAAATCTACACTAATAATAAGACCCCAAAAAGGAAACTCGGAAGTTTCGTTCAACGATACCCTTTTAAATTTCAGGCTCAGGGGGGATGATGTTAGCTGTACTGTACACTTACAACTATTTACTAATATTATTTATGTGGGATTAACAACTGTACTCTGGAAACCTTAATGTGGAGGATATTGTCGTTTTTATATGATTAAAAGTTTTTATTTCTGATAATTTCTATCTTTTTCCTGCAGTAGAAATGCATATTTGTAACCACAATTAAAAATATATAGTATTTCGTATATCTTAAGCATCATTCGGAACCCCTCATTTGAGTTTGGAATCCGTTTGCATGGCTCAAAATAAAAGAGTTTTTTAAAATACTTAGCTAATTACACCTGCGCTTTTGAATAGATATTAATGGGCTTATGGCCACTTCTCCCTCCCATCCTCATCAGACCAATTAACAAAAATTAAGAAACAATATTAACAAAAATATTTTCAAAATGTTTAAATTATTGTAATATTTATTTCACTTAAAATACTTAAAATAGTTCTATAAGAAATAATTTTTAAACCCCTTGGCCCCTTAATGTAAATTTGAAACCCCCTAATTTATATTTGAAACCCCCTGGCCCCCTGTTATCACTGTTCATCTTGCGGAGACATTATAGACACATCTTTTCAGTCTTTTACCCTTTTAATTAAATAAACTCTAGCAGACATAATAATATTAGGTCTTTTGAAATTAGGTATTACAATGCTAATTCATAACAAAGACGATATCGAATTCGTCACTGAATTCCCATGTTTTTTGGGACACCCTGTACAAAGAACCCCGGTCTATAGAACTACACAGTAAAACAAAAATGTGAACTTTCTCGATGATGATTTTGCCAAATACCTCCTTTTAACCGAAAGCTGGAAACAGAAGCGCGTTATATAGTTTTAAATTTAAATGTGCGCTTCGAAAATATAAGAAAGTTATTAAAGTAAAACCAGAGGCTTTAAAGATGACCCGAGCTGAAAACTCTTTTATTGAATACCCTTCATCCCGAATCTCTTTATCCACTGTGGACACTCTTAAATTTCTGCTTAATCCTTTCTTTTGAATTACCCTGCTGGATTCCGACCAATGAGATCTCTCTCATTGATCGTAAACTAAATTTCAAAATTTCTCGGCTTCTGATTGGTTTTTCGGTGTCCACAATCGAAACTCGGATTGGTTGCAGTTTAGATACTTTCATGGATATTAATGAAAGATTATTTTATTGTTAAGATTAATAAAAAGAAGATCAAGCATTGCCATCTATATCCACAATTCTAAAGTTTTAGCGCCGGTCTAATAATATAAGGCTTAATATTCATAGTTGTGTAAATTTAACTTCGACAATGTTTAAAGTTTAAATATTTATCATTTATATATTATATAATATACATAAAATATACAGCTGCTTGCGCCTAACTGATCGAAATTTAACATTTTATTAAAATTAGGTAAAAGATAAAAATGATAAATTAATCTTGGTTCCCGCGAACAGATCTTATCTCCCTCCCTCCATACACGAGAATTATGCGCACTTCGAGCGTGGGCGCGTACGCTGTTAAAAAGTCATCAAATATACAATTTTTAAAACTGTTTTTCAGCAAATGAATTTTAAAGCAATTCTTTCTTGGAATAGGCAACTTCAACTTTTCCCCCATGTATATTTGAAACCCCCTGGCACCCCATGTATATTTGAAACCCCCTGGCCCCCCATGTATATTTGAAACCCCCTGGCACCCCATGTATATTTGAAACCCCCTGGCCCCCTGGGCCCCTGGTGTTGTAAATGATTGCTCCCCACCCTGTGGTTTTAATAATGGTTTAAGCTTAAAGAACAATGCTCCTGAGAACTGAGTAATAAATGTAGAAAATTTCACTTAAATAAATATTTCAAACAGTTGAGCCAGACTTTGGATTCTACTCATTTTAATTTTTTTAACATCTTGTGTATTTCATTCCTATTTTGCTCAATGTTTCCTTGTCAGCTTGTTTAAATGTTTTGGTTGCTGCCTGTCTGA